CAATATGGACAATTAATTATGATATATCTCCTTAACATAAGACAACATAATTTGATTTTCGTGTGTAATTTATTTGGTGGAGCCACGCGTGCGTGCAATTGATTTCCTAATTATTTCAGTCACATGTAAGTGCGTATGTATAAATTCTGTTCTGAATCTTCAGTTATAATGTATTTATTAGTGAATTCAATTGCAACAAAAAGGAAAATCAATAAAAAGTACTACTCCACATGGCATGCTGTTAGAGCTTTTTGTCCCTCCAGGGGATTATTAACCTTAATCAACCTATTACTCTTATCTTAATTTTGCCAGATTAGTCAAATAAATCTCCTAATCATAATCGTAAGAGAGATATTTTTGATAAAAAATGTATGACAGTTCGAATTTGGCATGCGTATGTTAAATTGTTTCATACAAAAATTGCGAAGCAAAAAATGGGATAGTGCTACGATGGGACCACCCACAGAGGATAGAATTTCTGTCTCAAATCCATGAGTTATTTTTCAAGGAACATAGAAAGACAAACCCTAGAGTTAGAAAGATAAATATTTTAATTAATACTTTGATTTAATATTCCTTTTTAATACATTATTTTATTTGTCTTCGATTTTGATAAAAGAAAAAGGCGAAAAGACAGATCATAAGCAAAACCACATGGTGTGTTTTTAGCAACGCTGTGCATATAAAATTTAATTCGTAACACTTATTTTTCACAATACTATAAAACATATGTCAAATTCACGAGTTATATAAAATTTAATTCCTGTGCATGTCCACTAATTTGAAGTAAACACTAATTATATAAAATATGCATTAATTACTTAAATTTCGAACATTTGTCCAAACTCACGAGTTAGTGAATANACAATTAGTTAATATGATACATTCTTGAATGTGTTTTGCTTTTTATTAATTACTGTTGTAAAATTGTAAAAGTTATTGGACATTTTATTTTATTCATCACATTGTATAATTTTACTTTTTTTTTCTATATATGTGTAAATGTGAAGCAAATGGAAATATACGGGCCTCGTGAAGGCCCTACGGCCCGAATTATGTGGAAATTTGGACCCACGGGCTTATGCTACTCGTGACTTTAGCGGCGACTCACGGCCCACCGTTTGAAAGTTTATCATAAGTCGTTATTTCTTTTTCCACAAAAAAAATGTTACTTTTTTAAAAATAAGAAATTATTTAAATGATAATTTAAATAATTTTGTCTTACATCCATACATGAGCCATAGAACTTTCATTTTTAAAAATTAAAAATATTTATATTATATTGAAAATATGTATCTACTATAAAAACACCTTCCGCCCAATCAGAATGCTTCCAGATTAATTTTCCTTTATTGAATAAAAAAAATTCTCTATGTTTTTAATTGACATGGTGATTTCTTTTTCGGGTAAATCCCCAGGAACACATTTTGGACTCATTTGGACATGTCCCTGCCTTCATTAATACCAGTTTTTCTACATATAATTTAATTTATTTTAATAATAATATTCCACTTGTACAATATTATCCAAATCGAGGGCCATTTGATTTCATAACAAATATTTTTGTTGCATATTATGTAAACTCGAACAAAATTTCACCTCTTTTTGTAAAAGATTGCAATTACTTTTATTAAAATATTTACTTGTGAGTTGTCACACATCGTTTATATAGGAAAAAACTGTCTAATTTAAAAGTCTAATGGACTACTCTTCCTTCCACCAATTGATTTTGGGATAGAACCTTCAGAGCCGATCATAGCCTTTTTTAGGCCCTAGGCCAAATGTAAGAATAATGCCCCTCATTTTTTGTTCTAAAAAAAAAAAATGCCCCTCCTTTTCGTTCAATACAATGACTATCATTTGTACGAAACACAAGTTTTTATTACAAAATTATACAATACATAAAATTTCTAACACCAAAATATCATCTATCCATCAAAATGGANCATAAAATTAAACTACAAATAAACCCACAAATTGAGAAGTAAATTATTTAAAATTGATAAATAAACAACAAATTAATTTTTATCGAACCCCCATCGTGAACCAACGGCGAGTCGAATAGTCGAGACATGTCCGATCTTTTAGCCCCATGACTGTTATCTCTGGACCACGTGGGTTTCTTGTCCGAACCCCCAAGGTCGAACGCAGCAGGTGGAGGCGCAGTGCGGCGGTGCGAAGGGGAGACAAAATCCTGGGGAGATCCGATAAATGATTCTGATTGAGGCCTCCGGGAAAACGACCAAGATCTGCCTTGTTTGCGGAGATGGGCTATGGCTGTGGCAGATCTTGTCTGTCTTTACTTAGTTGCTTGTTTGGGATTTAAGGATCTTGGATTTTAGAAGAGATATATTGAATGGAAATTTCAGATCTCATCTCTACAAATGAAAGAGTGAAGAAATTAGAAAGGGAAATGAGCAGCGAAAGAAATCGTATAAAAATGAAGGGCTCGTGAAAAGAGAGAAAATTAGATTGCAGCTGGATAATTATTTCAATAAAATTTATGGATTCAAAGGCCCAAGAATGGTGCCCCTTCGAATTGGGCCCTGCCTGGGTCCTGGGCCGTCGCCCAGGTCGCCCTGGGCGAGGGCCGGCTCTGGGAACCTTACTTGGGCTTCATTTGGGCTTTCTCTGTTTGTGCACTTCACGTGCGTGGGAACCGCACCCGTTTTTCCCCCGATTCATACACACCAAAAGCCTATATGTTATTAAGTATTTTTGTTCTTATTTTGGCGGCTGGAGATTAGAGGGAAAAAAAGTCGAGCCGAGTTTGAGCTTTGAATACTCGGATTCGTGTCGAGTCTTTATTGAATCGAGTCGATAAAGGGGTTCGAGCTTGAGTTCGACTAATTTATCAATATTAATGAGTGCGTATCTAACTTTAACGAGCCAAATTTGAATATTAAAAGTCAAATTATAAAACAAATTATATAAAATTAAAATTATATTTTCGAACCTTTATGACTCGAGCTTATTAACTATAAAGCCAAGGTTTGCCTTAATAAGTCCAGCCGAGTATTTTGTGTAACAACTCTCTAATAGAGATATGTCAGGAAAAGTATGGAGATTTGTCTTTTTTTTCCTCTTTAATTTTTTCTTTATGTGTTAGAATAGGTGAGAAATGCTCACATGCCAACGGTGGACACATGTGATAAATTATGTCTTTTTTTTTTCTCTTTAATTTTTTCTTTATATGTAATTTTTTCTTTTTGTTATTTTTAATTTCCCACATTGAATAATAAATTATGTCTTTTCAAATTTCACTAAATTGTATAAAGATTTGAGTAGGCAAATTGATTGAAACCTAAATTAAATGTTGTAGTAATGTCTCCCAAGTTGGAACAGTATTTTGCAGTGGAACGGGAGAAATTGTAAACCACGATGAAAAACAATGGAACTCTAGCACTAATTTTCAATTTTAAAAACGGGAAAAAACCTAAAAATAAATAAATAGAAAGACCAAAGTGAGAAAAAGGAAAAGTAGAAGGATCGACCTAAAAAAAGAAAAAGCAAAGAAAAGGATTTGAGAATGCAAACGACGTATTCAGATTTCAGAGAGAAGTGCGATGGTGCTTTTGCTTTTTCCTCTCCGAAAATCGAAAGTGCCTTCCCAAAGAATATAAAAAAAAGGGACAAAATAGAGAAAAATGCTTATATAAATTGAAAATAAATTATACTATTCATATATGCTTTAGCATAAATGTTAAGACTTATTCACAAGAATAATTGTTACACTTACTCATAGTAGTAGTGGATAACTTTGATAAAGCACAAATACTGCCACATTTTTATGTTTATATTATTTTTAAAAAATGTAATGTTTAAGTACGAGACATATAAATATGAAGAGAAAGTATGACTGACTTAGTAATTGAACAATTTAATAATAGCATTATTATTTGAAAAGACATTTCTAGAATTTTGAATGAAAAACTCGTATTGCTTGAAATTAATTGCTAAACAACCATACTTTTAAATAATCTTACATTTTATATTGAAATATGATACATTAAAAAATAACAAAAATAAAAGTGTGATAATTCATAATACAAATATATATATTCTTATTAAAAAGAACGAGCGATTAACATTAATCGCGCAACACTAGTATTTGTGAAACTTGATACTTGATATATATTTGAAATAGTACAAATTATTTTGTGGAGAAGTTCAATCATTAGACAAGTCTATCCAACATACTTACTTAAAACGAAAAATACATATTTATATATAGTATAAAATACCATATTTTTATTTGTGTTGTATTTTAGAGTATGACATTTCAACTTAAAAATATTTAAGTATGTTGAAAACAAGACTATAATCAGTCGTGTCTAGCATTAGGACTACTTTTGAAATATTACATGAGTACATTTACATAAACGACAGGTCCGTGTTAGTCAATTCTAATTATTAGACAATTATATATAAATAACATTATATACTTTCAAACTAAAATGACATATTAAAAAAAATATAAAATTAAAATATAATATTTTATAGTATAAATATTTATTTTTATTAAACGAATGAGAAGTCGACTGACTAAAGTTTAAACGTATAAAATGAAATAATACATGAGTACATTTAAGTCCACAATAATTAGGAGTAAATGTGCCCATTACCATTATACAGTACTTACCCACCTAAATTGGAAATAAGTAATAAATAACCCAACTCCGACTCAACCGTACATTCATAAATCGCAATTAACATAAATTTACATAAGCATAAATAAATAAACAATTATTTCATTCATTCATTTATTTAACAATAATGCTATAAGGACATCCAGTTTTACAACTCAAATGACAACTGCATACGTGTAAAGTAAATTTTGACTTATTTAATGTACAAAATAAAAAAATAATCACTAAACCATCTTCAATTATAACTCACACAGGCCACAACGAAACAAAACCTAGCAGGAAGTAAGGAACCATCTTCAATTCCAATTCAGGGAGAAACATACCTAGCACGAGAGATAATCGGGTAAAATTGTTTATGTGCTTTCCCCGATTTCCAGATTTGATTTTTTATTTCGGTTTTTTGGGTGCAAACAACGTCAGCCACCTTCGTGGTCACCAACAGTGTCGCCGGCAAGGTCCTCTCCGGCAGGGGGTATAGGGAGTACAGGCTCGGGGACTACTCGAATTGGCTGCAGAACAGGGTCAACGACCACTGGGGCCAGGTTAGAAGCTATTTGGTTGACAGTAACATTTGTCAGAGGCTGCTTCAGGCTGGTTCGACCCCGGTGGACGATTTTTACCGAGAGCATCTATCTGCGCTTCAGGTATAGTTATTTTCTTATTTTTTCTTTGAAATATTCTTCTGGGTCGATGGATTTTTGTTAAATTGTTCATGGGTTCTTGAGTATTTGTTGATATCGTGAGGATTTGTGTTAAATTGTTCTTTGGTTCTTAAATATTTTTTGATATCTTGAGTTGTTTGAGCAGTGGTGTATAAGATTTTTTATGGTGTTCTGGGTGTTTGGTTCTAGATTTCACTTAATTTTATATGAATTCTTCATATACACTACATCAAGAAAAAGGAAAAAAAAGGATACTGTAGAGAATCAAATATTGAGAGGTTTGAGATGATGATTCTTGCTTTGATTATAAAGATTGAGATAAAACAGATATGTTATCAACAGTATGTGCAGTGTAGACAATGAAATCTATATTTTGGAAAATAGAAACTTTTGCTCCAGAATCTTTCTTTTTGCTTTATGTTGTGTTAGGTTGATAAAAAGTTGAGTGCCTTTAAATTGGTTTCTCCCATTATTAGCTTGGGAAAGTGGCTTTTCTGCATCTGACTATTCTGTAAAATTCTTCCTTCTTATTATCCACTGCCTGACATGATTATCTTGCAAAATGAATTTTTGAATATGGTCCATTTTTTTTCCTTGTAATTTTAAAGTTTGACCCCATCTTAAGAAGTGACAATTTGCTTAAACCATTGCTTGCTAGTAGTTCAACTTCAAATTGAAGTTCATTTTTCCTTTCTAAAATATGGTTCTAGTAAGTAAACTATTTATTTTCCCCTATAGCTTAGCACTTAACCATAGTTTTTTCACATTGAAATTTACCAGTCTGGATGCTGTAAGCCCTCGAATGATTGCAACTTCACGTACGTGAGCCCAACAAACTGGACACGGCCACAAACACCAGCTTCTAGCAACCCAGACTGTGCTCGGTGGAGCAATGAGCCGAGAGTGCTCTGCTATGGCTGCGACTCGTGCAAGGCTGGTCTTCTCGATAACATCAAGACCGACTGGAAGAGAGTTTCCGTTATAAACATCGTTTTCCTTGTGTTCTTAATCATTGTTTACTCGGTTGGGTGTTGTGCATTTAGGAACAACCGGGAGGACAACAGTGCCTGGAAACGTTATCCTTGAGGGGAATGGAAACCAATTTAGTAGATTTGTGTTTGTTCTCTGATGTATTATTGCAGATGTATTATTGCAGTTTGAAGTTCATGCCCAATGGTTATCTGAATAATGCAATGAAGGCTATTTGTGTTGGAATATATGGTTGAACTCATTTTTTATGCAAGAATGATATGATATTTTTCATTTCCAACTGTGCTTTGTGCAAAATGAAAGTGATTATCTTTGTCCATATAAAGTAAGCAACCTTGTGTAGTGTAACCCCTGAGCATAAAAATTCAAAAGGTTGTAAGATTCCTTCAATTAACAGAGATAAGAGAATCTTGAAACTAACCTTTTAATGTTACAAGATCTTACTCACACAAACTGGAATACTGATAAATTACTCCACACATTAAGTGCAGATAATCGATACACAAAAAATATGTTGTAAGGACAATAGGTCCCATAAAAACCTGCTCATTCCATGCAGCTCAAGCAGATATCACCCAAGGTGCTATACACTATTAACTCTCACATAATGTAAACCACATAATTCCATATTTATAAAATAAATAACAAACGTGTAAAAAAAAAAGATGCTAGTGGAATCAAACTGCACTCACAAACCAATTCAAAAAGCGTTCAAATCAATTCAAAACAAGTCCACAAGAACATTACTAGGGAAAAACGAAATTGAAATCAAAGTCACATGTCCACAAGAACATCATTGGGAGACGACATAAGTTTCAAGTACTGAAATCCAATAAAAATAAATAATCACACCAAATGACACACCAATTAGCAAAGCCAAAACTTCGTCCAGGATCAACCATTCTGCTAGTCTAGGTATGGATGTTGGTTAACCATTGACGACTTCGACGTTTTGTCCCCCTCATATGTTGCCAGCACATTAGTTCCCCAATTAGGAACAAAAGAGGGTATAAATAACTCCTGTGAATATGACATTGGAGCTAAGGTGGGAAGATTAGCCTGCACCATTGGTTGAACATATGTGGCACTTTCATGTGGTTTAGAGGATGCCATATTTTTTTGTTTTGACGAGACCTACATAGTCAAGATATAAGATTAATAAACTTAAATATATAAAATGATGATCTAACATAACCATATATAGATTACAATTTACCTTTAATTTCTTAGAAATCTTTTCTAGTGCCCCTTTTTGACGTAATTTTCGGGGAGCTCCTTTTCTTTTCACGTGATTTGGATCAGAAATTTTTGGTCCCAAAATTGTATCCACTCCTCCATTAACAGAATCTACCAAAATACTTTGGTCCAAATTAGATTTTCCTTCACTTCTTTGATCCATATTCATTAAATCCAAATTATTAGATACAGATCCGATCCACTCCATAAGCTTACTTGCTCTCACATCATCATTCGCCACCTTGTCGGCCACCACTGCAAAAGCACGACACAAATTATCATATCGTAATTGATCAGGTGTCGAGATCCAACCATCATAGTTGATCTTCACCCTTTGGTATGATCTACACACATCTCTTCTCCACCTCCTCAATATATACATGTCAGGAACGGACGTCACATCATTGCGAATCAAAACTGTGATAGCATGTTTGCAAATTATCCCTCGAAACTCAAATAAATGACAACTACAAACAAAGTTTCCTGATTCCTTTTGAGTTTGAACAATGTAGAATTTTTTATATTTTTTTCCATTGCAAATAACATCCTCCTGAACCATGTATTTATGTCCCCGTAAGAATTTCTCACATCCATCCTCTTTGGATATAATCTCACAGTAAACCATACCTGTAAATTGAGATTGAAATTCCTTGAACTTATTGATGGTGTAAATGGCTTGAAATTGTTTTTCTAATTCATACAAAGTAGCACATGGAACCATCGCCGAATATGACTTACAGTCAGCCTGAATCTCCTTCTCCACTTTACTACGCAGTGCCCTCTCGTATTGTTCAACAAATTGCTTCAATGTTGTTTTAGCATTGACATATCCATCAAAAAATGCATTAATACTCTCACTACGTTGTGTTGTCGACATCCCCGCCCAGAAACTCGTCTTCAGAAAGCACGGAACCCAACGATTTCTTTCACCATAGAGGCTAAACAACCACTCATTCTCGTGTAGTTCATACAAGTGAACCATATTGATCCAACCCTGCTCAAATTCTTCTGGACTTTGAGATTCATAAACCACTTCATGAATTGTCGACATGATAGCACCTTTTTGCGGATGACCACCAAATTTCTCAGGCAACTTTTTTAGTATATGCCACAAACACCATCTATGCCTCGTGTTCGGAAAAATTGTTTGGACAGCATTTTTCATTGCCCTATCTTGGTCTGTTATTATTCCGATGGGAGCATGTCCCTCCATGCACTCAAGCCATGTTTTAAAAAGCCATTCGAAAGTGTCTGTATCCTCGCTAGATATTAAGCCACATCCAAACAGCGTAGAATGACCATGGTGGTTAACACCTACGAAAGGGGCGAATGGCATATCATACTTATTTGTTAAATACGTGGTATCGAACGTCACTACATCACCGAACTCTTGATATGCTTTTCTACACCTATTATCAGCCCAAAATACGTTTTTCAACCGAAACTCCTCGTCCAAGTCAATGCTAAAGTAAAAACCCGGACAATTAGCCTGCATTTTAGAAAAGTAAGACTGAATTGCAGCTGCATCCCCTTCTCCGAGTCTCAAACGTCGAACCTTAGCAATATAATTTCGGCAGTCCTTCTCAATAAATGACATCTTTTCATACCCACCAGCCTCTACAACAGCCGAATTAAAGCTTTTATGTAAAGGAATTCCAGCTACATCATTCACCTCAAGTCGTCGTTTAATATTGGTGCTTAACTGACGATGGCAACGATATAATCTTGATTTAGAGGGACTTATAGCATGATTATGCTCGAGATGGACACCTGTAATTTTCCACGTCCCCGTAATATCCGAACAAGCTGTCAACCGAGCTTCACACCCATTTTTAATGGTGGGTTGTGGTTTGAAAGTAGCGGAAGTTGATTTCATTTTTTGTCCCTCTCGGCTACATGTAAACATTGCATTTTTTATGACACCGTCTTCGTCTTTCCTTGAACTTCTCTTTCTAACTGGAAAACCCACACGAGCGGCATATTTTTTGTAAAATTCAAACACTTTGTCGTAATTTTGGAACTTCATTCCAACCACTGGCACAGATGTTTCATCTTCAATGGGTACTCCAATGTGCAATTCACTTTCAACAACATCCTTTGTAACTATCTCATTACCTTTCAAACACTCATTCTCCACCAACTGCTTTTTTCTTTCTTCATTATAATTGAGCCCAGAAACTTGGTTTCCTACATAACATTAGGATTATTATTAGATAAAGAAATTATAGAAAATCTGAAGGGAAAAAAAAAAAAAGAACACCATTGAATAAACTGAAAAAATCAATCAATTATCACCACTGTCAAAAGCTACACACAAAGTAATGAATGGTTTACCTGTGTCATTTGTCATCATATTTCTCCACAAGAAAAGAGTACCACGAAACGATTGGTCACCACAAAGTCGGCTGACGTTGTTTGCACCCAAAAAATCGAAATAAAAAATCAAATCTGGAAATCGGGAAAAGCACAGAAACAATTTTACCCTGCTAGGTTTTGTTTGGTTGTGGCCTGTGTTAGTCTTTTAATTGAAGATGGTTTAGTGATTATTTTTTTATTTTATACATTAAATAAGTTAAGATTTACTTTACACGTATGCAATTGTCATTTGAGTTGTAAAACTGGATGTCCCTATAGCATTATAAGACTAACACAGGCCACAACCAAACAAAACCTAGCAGGGTAAAATTGTTTCTGTGCTTTTCCCGATTTCCAGATTTGATTTTTTATTTCGATTTTTTGGGTGCAAACAACGTCAGCCGACTTTGTGGTGACCAATCGTTTCGTGGTACTCTTTTCTTGTGGAGAAATATGATGACAAATGACACAGGTAAACCATTCATTACTTTGTGTGTAGCTTTTGACAGTGGTGATAATTGATTGATTTTTTCAGTTTATTCAATGGTGTTCTTTTTTTTTTTTTTCCTTCAGATTTTCTATAATTTCTTTATCTAATAATAATCCTAATGTTATGTAGGAAACCAAGTTTCTGGGCTCAATTATAATGAAGAAAGAAAAAAGCAGTTGGTGGAGAATGAGTGTTTGAAAGGTAATGAGATAGTTACAAAGGATGTTGTTGAAAGTGAATTGCACATTGGAGTACCCATTGAAGATGAAACATCTGTGCCAGTGGTTGGAATGAAGTTCCAAAATTACGACAAAGTGTTTGAATTTTACAAAAAATATGCCGCTCGTGTGGGTTTTCCAGTTAGAAAGAGAAGTTCAAGGAAAGACGAAGACGGTGTCATAAAAAATGCAATGTTTACTTGTAGCCGAGAGGGACAAAAAATGAAATCAACTTCCGCTACTTTCAAACCACAACCCACCATTAAAAATGGGTGTGAAGCTCGGTTGACAGCTTGTTCGGATATTACGGGGACGTGGAAAATTACAGGTGTCCATCTCGAGCATAATCATGCTATAAGTCCCTCTAAATCAAGATTATATCGTTGCCATCGTCAGTTAAGCACCAATATTAAACGACGACTTGAGGTGAATGATGTAGCTGGAATTCCTTTACATAAAAGCTTTAATTCGGCTGTTGTAGAGGCTGGTGGGTATGAAAAGATGTCATTTATTGAGAAGGACTGCCGAAATTATATTGCTAAGGTTCGACGTTTGAGACTCGGAGAAGGGGATGCAGCTGCAATTCAGTCTTACTTTTCTAAAATGCAGGCTAATTGTCCGGGTTTTTACTTTAGCATTGACTTGGACGAGGAGTTTCGGTTGAAAAACGTATTTTGGGCTGATAATAGGTGTAGAAAAGCATATCAAGAGTTCGGTGATGTAGTGACGTTCGATACCACGTATTTAACAAATAAGTATGATATGCCATTCGCCCCTTTCGTAGGTGTTAACCACCATGGTCATTCTACGCTGTTTGGATGTGGCTTAATATCTAGCGAGGATACAGACACTTTCGAATGGCTTTTTAAAACATGGCTTGAGTGCATGGAGGGACATGCTCCCATCGGAATAATAACAGACCAAGATAGGGCAATGAAAAATGCTGTCCAAACAATTTTTCCGAACACGAGGCATAGATGGTGTTTGTGGCATATACTAAAAAAGTTGCCTGAGAAATTTGGTGGTCATCCGCAAAAAGGTGCTATCATGTCGACAATTCATGAAGTGGTTTATGAATCTCAAAGTCCAGAAGAATTTGAGCAGGGTTGGATCAATATGGTTCACTTGTATGAACTACACGAGAATGAGTGGTTGTTTAGCCTCTATGGTGAAAGAAATCGTTGGGTTCCGTGCTTTCTGAAGACGAGTTTCTGGGCGGGGATGTCGACAACACAACGTAGTGAGAGTATTAATGCATTTTTTGATGGATATGTCAATGCTAAAACAACATTGAAGCAATTTGTTGAACAATACGAGAGGGCACTGCGTAGTAAAGTGGAGAAGGAGATTCAGGCTGACTGTAAGTCATATTCGGCGATGGTTCCATGTGCTACTTTGTATGAATTAGAAAAACAATTTCAAGCCATTTACACCATCAATAAGTTCAAGGAATTTCAATCTCAATTTACAGGTATGGTTTACTGTGAGATTATATCCAAAGAGGATGGATGTGAGAAATTCTTACGGGGACATAAATACATGGTTCAGGAGGATGTTATTTGCAATGGAAAAAAATATAAAAAATTCTACATTGTTCAAACTCAAAAGGAATCAGGAAACTTTGTTTGTAGTTGTCATTTATTTGAGTTTCGAGGGATAATTTGCAAACATGCTATCACAGTTTTGATTCGCAATGATGTGACGTCCGTTCCTGACATGTATATATTGAGGAGGTGGAGAAGAGATGTGTGTAGATCATACCAAAGGGTGAAGATCAACTATGATGGTTGGATCTCGACACCTGATCAATTACGATATGATAATTTGTGTCGTGCTTTTGCAGTGGTGGCCGACAAGGTGGCGAATGATGATGTGAGAGCAAGTAAGCTTATGGAGTGGATCATATCTGTATCCAATGATTTGGATTTAATGAATATGGATCAAAGAAGTGAAGGAAAATCTAATTTGGACCAAAGTATTTTGGTAGATTCTGTTAATGGAGGAGTGGATACAATTTTGGGACCAAAAATTTCTGATCCAAATCACGTGAAAAGAAAAGGAGCTCCCCGAAAATTACGTCAAAAAGGGGCACTAGAAAAGATTTCTAAGAAATTAAAGGTAAATTGTAATCTATATATGGTTATGTTAGATCATCATTTTATATATTTAAGTTTATTAATCTTATATCTTGACTATGTAGGTCTCGTCAAAACAAAAAAATATGGCATCCTCTAAACCACATGAAAGTGCCACATATGTTCAACCAATGGTGCAGGCTAATCTTCCCACCTTAGCTCCAATGTCATATTCACAGGAGTTATTTATACCCTCTTTTGTTCCTAATTGGGGAACTAATGTGCTGGCAACATATGAGGGGGACAAAACGTCGAAGTCGTCAATGGTTAACCAACATCCATACCTAGACTAGCAGAATGGTTGATCCTGGACGAAGTTTTGGCTTTGCTAATTGGTGTGTCATTTGGTGTGATTATTTATTTTTATTGGATTTCAGTACTTGAAACTTATGTCGTCTCCCAATGATGTTCTTGTGGACATGTGACTTTGATTTCAATTTCGTTTTTCCCTAGTAATGTTCTTGTGGACTTGTTTTGAATTGATTTGAACGCTTTTTGAATTGGTTTGTGAGTGCAGTTTGATTCCACTAGCATCTTTTTTTTTTACACGTTTGTTATTTATTTTATAAATATGGAATTATGTGGTTTACATTATGTGAGAGTTAATAGTGTATAGCACCTTGGGTGATATCTGCTTGAGCTGCATGGAATGAGCAGGTTTTTATGGGACCTATTGTCCTTACAACATATTTTTTGTGTATCGATTATCTGCACTTAATGTGTGGAGTAATTTATCAGTATTCCAGTTTGTGTGAGTAAGATCTTGTAACATTAAAAGGTTAGTTTCAAGATTCTCTTATCTCTGTTAATTGAAGGAATCTTACAACCTTTTGAATTTTTATGCTCAGGGGTTACACTACACAAGGTTGCTTACTTTATATGGACAAAGATAATCACTTTCATTTTGCACAAAGCACAGTTGGAAATGAAAAATATCATATCATTCTTGCATAAAAAATGAGTTCAACCATATATTCCAACACAAATAGCCTTCATTGCATTATTCAGATAACCATTGGGCATGAACTTCAAACTGCAATAATACATCTGCAATAATACATCAGAGAACAAACACAAATCTACTAAATTGGTTTCCATTCCCCTCAAGGATAACGTTTCCAGGCACTGTTGTCCTCCCGGTTGTTCCTAAATGCACAACACCCAACCGAGTAAACAATGATTAAGAACACAAGGAAAACGATGTTTATAACGGAAACTCTCTTCCAGTCGGTCTTGATGTTATCGAGAAGACCAGCCTTGCACGAGTCGCAGCCATAGCAGAGCACTCTCGGCTCATTGCTCCACCGAGCACAGTCTGGGTTGCTAGAAGCTGGTGTTTGTGGCCGTGTCCAGTTTGTTGGGCTCACGTACGTGAAGTTGCAATCATTCGAGGGCTTACAGCATCCAGACTGGTAAATTTCAATGTGAAAAAACTATGGTTAAGTGCTAAGCTATAGGGGAAAATAAATAGTTTACTTACTAGAACCATATTTTAGAAAGGAAAAATGAACTTCAATTTGAAGTTGAACTACTAGCAAGCAATGGTTTAAGCAAATTGTCACTTCTTAAGATGGGGTCAAACTTTAAAATTACAAGGAAAAAAAATGGACCATATTCAAAAATTCATTTTGCAAGATAATCATGTCAGGCAGTGGATAATAAGAAGGAAGAATTTTACAGAATAGTCAGATGCAGAAAAGCCACTTTCCCAAGCTAATAATGGGAGAAACCAATTTAAAGGCACTCAACTTTTTATCAACCTAACACAACATAAAGCAAAAAGAAAGATTCTGGAGCAAAAGTTTCTATTTTCCAAAATATAGATTTCATTGTCTACACTGCACATACTGTTGATAACATATCTGTTTTATCTCAATCTTTATAATCAAAGCAAGAATCATCATCTCAAACCTCTCAATATTTGATTCTCTACAGTATCCTTTTTTTTCCTTTTTCTTGATGTAGTGTATATGAAGAATTCATATAAAATTAAGTGAAATCTAGAACCAAACACCCAGAACACCATAAAAAATCTTATACACCACTGCTCAAACAACTCAAGATATCAAAAAATATTTAAGAACCAAAGAACAATTTAACACAAATCCTCACGATATCAACAAATACTCAAGAACCCATGAACAATTTAACAAAAATCCATCGACCCAGAAGAATATTTCAAAGAAAAAATAAGAAAATAACTATACCTGAAGCGCAGATAGATGCTCTCGGTAAAAATCGTCCACCGGGGTCGAACCAGCCTGAAGCAGCCTCTGACAAATGTTACTGTCAACCAAATAGCTTCTAACCTGGCCCCAGTGGTCGTTGACCCTGTTCTGCAGCCAATTCGAGTAGTCCCCGAGCCTGTACTCCCTATACCCCCTGCCGGAGAGGACCTTGCCGGCGACACTGTTGGTGACCACGAAGGTGGCTGACGTTGTTTGCACCCAAAAAACCGAAATAAAAAATCAAATCTGGAAATCGGGGAAAGCACATAAACAATTTTACCCGATTATCTCTCGTGCTAGGTATGTTTCTCCCTGAATTGGAATTGAAGATGGTTCCTTACTTCCTGCTAGGTTTTGTTTCGTTGTGGCCTGTGTGAGTTATAATTGAAGATGGTTTAGTGATTATTTTTTTATTTTGTACATTAAATAAGTCAAAATTTACTTTACACGTATGCAGTTGTCATTTGAGTTGTAAAACTGGATGTCCTTATAGCATTATTGTTTTTTATTTTATACATTAAATAAGTTAAGATTTACTTTACACGTATGCAGTTGTCATTTGAGTTGTAAAACTGGATGTCCCTATAGCATTATTGTTTATTTAATTTTATATTTTTCATCTCCTCCTTTTATTGGTCCTCTCCCTGCACCTCACTCCCCTTCCCCACACTCTTCAAAGCTCTCATTCACCATTGAGAAGAGCCCAAAATAACCAGGAAAAAATAAAAGGACAAAAAAATTCTCAATACCTGTGAACAATTCTCCGTTTCACACACATTATTGAAGAGAATAAAATGCAACCTTTAACATGACCAGCAGCGCGCGGCGGTGAATTACTCCCTCCCTCGACGGTTATGAATCCCACCTCCGCAGACCCAACAGCCGCCCCGCCGCCGCCGCAGCTGCAGCAGCCTCCGAGATCCTCCTTCAGCTGCGACCGCCACCCCGCCGAGCAGTTCACCGGATTCTGCCCCTCCTGCCTATGCGAGCGCCTCACCTCCCTAGATCACTCCTCCTCCAACACCCCCTCCTCCTCCCGCCGCCCCTCCTCCGCCTCCGCCGCCATAAAGTCCCTGTTCTCCTCCAAGAATGCCTCCCTCCCGCCGCCGCCTCCGGCGGCCCCCAAAATCTCGAAACCCTCGTTTTTCCCCGAGCTGCGCCGGACCAAGTCCTTCTCCGCCTCGAAGAACGAGGCCCTCGGGCTTTCGTTCGAGCCACAGAGAAAGTCCTGCGATGTCAGGGCGAGGAGCACCCTCTCGACCCTCTTCACGCTCGACGGCGGCGCTAAATCCGCCGCCGGAAACAGTAATCTGAACTGCAGCAAACCCTCCTCCGTCCTGACCTCCTCAATTGCCTCAACCTCTCACCAAAACCCACCAAACGCCAAAAAAATCGAATCTTTCGTAGCCTATGAAGCGGAAAATGATTCCCACAAGGACCCTGTTCTTGTGTACGATGATGACACCAATGACGATGGAGATGAAATTAGGCCCGTTCAAGACACCCATTTGGAAAATATGAGAAATTCGTTCTCAAACGAGCTCAATAGCAACGAGATAGTCGAAGAAGACGACAGCTTGAAGCCCATGAAAGACCACATTGACCTCAACACTCGAGAAAAGAAGAGCTCGGGAGGCGGCGTGTTCTGGTCTGCGGCCTCGGTTTTCAGCAAGAAGTGGCACAAATGGCGGCAGAAGCAAAAGACGAAAAAGCCCTCCACAAACGGCTGCAACTTTGCAGCTTTACCGGTCGAAAAGCCGATGTCGAGGCAGTTCAGGGAGACCCAATCCGAAATCGCCGACTATGGCTTCGGCCGGCGGTCCTGCGACACGGGCCCAAGATTCTCCCTTGACGCGGCCCGAATAAGCCTAGACACGGGCCCAAGATACTCGTTCGACGAGCCGCGGGCCTCGTGGGATGGCCACTTGATTGGGCGGAGCTTCTCGAGAATGGCCCCCATGGTCTCAGTCATGGAGGAGCGACACATTACACGCTCGGACATGCAGATTCCGGTGGAGGGCAATTTGGTAATTTGCGCCAAGGACGGCGAAAACGTTCCGGGAGGGTCGATGCAGACGAGGGATTACTATCTCGACTCGTCGTCCTCCCGGAGGAGAAAGAGCCTGGACAGGTCTGACGAGCTGAGGTCGGTTTCTTATGCAATAATGATGGGTGGTGAGAACGGTAATACTAATAACTTGAGGGACTCGAGCGTAAATTCGCAGTCTTTCTTGAGGGATGATTGTTCGGAGACATTCGAGTTGAACAGTGGTGTGTTTGGGGACAATGGGAATTGTTTGGTGGGGAGTGGGGAGAAGAAGGAGCCGAAAAAGTCGAGGAGGCTGTGGAGTTGGAGGATATGGGGTTTTAGTTTAATAAGTCGACGTAATAGTAATGGAACTAATCATAGTAGTAAGGATGAGTACGAGGGCTGTCGAGGGAATGGGGTAGAAAGGTCATTTTCCGAGTCTTGGCAAGATTTGAGAATGAAAAACGGAGACTTTAAGGGTGAGATGAGCCGGAACATGTTAAGGAGCAATAGTAGCGTGAGCTCGTTTCGGAGCATGAGCAAAACGAAAAAAGACGAGTTTGTTTTGGAGAAGAATCGGAGTGTGAGGTACTCTGCTAACGAAGTTTCGGATAATGGGCTTTTGAGATTTTACTTGACGCCTATGAGGAATAGTAGCCGGAAAATGGGGTTTAAAACGAGTAATTCACACTCGATTGCTAGGAGCGTGCTGAGGCTGTATTGAGAAAAGGATGAATTTTTTTTCGAGGGCCCTTTTGGGATTCTCTCGAGTTTGTTTCGTATTTTTCGTTTAGGATGTGTTGTTTGTTTTACTGACTCTTGCTGGCTGCAGTTTTAGCTGCATTTGTCTGTGGAGTATGATCACATTGTCTATTGGGGTCTTTTCTTTTTTTTNACATTGGCATGGAATGTTATGGTTCGTGTGCATCTAGCTGGAATTTTTAGAACACTGGTCGTGAAGCCTCCAGCCGGGGCCTTTAAATGGTTGAATAAAGTGCAATGTTTGGCAAGTGACTGTGATGATTGTTTGGTCGTGAGAAATGATTGTTGTTTGCTCAAAGATTTGAGCTCATTGTATTCAGTCCTTGTCATTGAAAAAGAAAGCAAAGTGGATGATCCACCAGAAAAAAGAGGGGCAAACAATAATTTGGTCCAAGAAAGAAAAAGAAAAAAGATAAAAAAAAGTGGAATGGGCAATTTTGTCTCCCAAATTGATGGTGTGACTCGGTTCAATGGAAATGTTACTTGTGATTTGTGAGCTGTGTGAGTTGTGAAGGCTTTTTTTGAAGCCGTCTCTTTTTATGTTTTTGTGATTTTGTTCTTTGCTACACATGCTTAAGTTTTGTCTATTTGCTTTTCTCCCAAATTTGGTCCATGTGTATATTTTTATCTTGTGTGGTATTTCATTAGATGAATGACATATGTAAAATATTATGTACAAGTGGCATTCATCTTGAATTACGAAATGGAATATAAAATTGGAACGTAAAATCTTACTGTCATTTAGAGCCATTAAACGAAATAAGTTGTTCGTGAGCTCGACTCGTTAAAGCTTGAGTTTGGCTCGGCTCGTTTGATAACTGAGTTGAACTCAAACTCGCTTAAAGCTTGTTTCGTTAACGAGTCGAACTCGAACTTCAATGTTAATACCATAAAAAGGTTATACTAAGTTTGATGTTAGATGAGCCTTCTAAAATTAAAAAGAAGACCTCGTAAGGTCTTAAAAACGACATATGAACCAATAAAAAATGTCCACCTACAATACTCATCGTTGGCATATTAAGACGTATTCACCAACCGCAACCAGATATGTTATATCTTCATTTCATTTTTCTAAAATTTAAGAAATTGGAGGACCAATTATGTCAATAAACCATTGAATCCCCCTCTTAACCAATTATGTTAAATCTTCATTTCATTTTTTCTAAAACTTGAGAAATTGGAGGACCAATTATGTCAATAAACCATTACATTCCCCTCTTAACTGCATTATACCAAATGTAAAAGCTCGAGATTAGAGAAATGAAAGTCAAAAAGTGGCAGCAAAAAACAACTCATCGTGGTAGTTGGCAAGTGAGGTGAAGATAAGAAAGTGGGGGATTTTTTTGTATTTTCTTGACAAATTGAAAAATAGAATAAAATATCTATGACGTGTTCGTAATTCTTGATAGTTGCTCTTTTGTGTATCTTCATACCATTTAGTTTTCAGTTGATCCTTTTTAAGTTATATACCGTAATATTTATTGTTGACCGGTTATAAGAAAACAATTATGCGTTTTTTTAGGGGCATCACTGCAAAGACAAGGCAAATTTCGGGAGGCCATAAAGTACCACACACTTGTTCTTGAAATATCACTATGGGAAGGAGAAGAATCTGGGAATACGGAAGCTTATGGAGCAATAGCCGATTGTTATACCGAACTTGGAGATTTGGAACTAGCAGCGAAATACTATGACCAGTATATTTCCAGGTTAAAGTCCGAATGAACTTTTCTATCTCAGGGAAACTTTTTTGTATTGTGTTAGCTCGAGTTTTTTACGGTATTTTTACTAGTTTTGCGGTGTTTACATTGATTCATCAGGCATTTAATCGATAGAACAGTTCATTGTATCACCCTAATACTCGTTCGAAATATAGAGGCGAGAGGGGTAATCGAAACAAGAAAGTAAGATGTAAAAGATTGTAGTTTCATGGTGTAATAGTTTAGAAACTGAAACCTGCAACTGTGTGAGTAGATGAAAAGTGCTTGCTTCTACAAATAAATAATCCAAGAGATTCAAAATACAGTATTTATTTAATTAAGCTAAATTTTGTTGTGGCTGACTAGTAATAAGATTACATGAGCATTAGAAATTTAAGCATGGCTTTTGATGAGATACTTGCTTTATTAATACGTGCTGCTATCATCTCTGTAATATAATTTGCATTGAGTAGTACTCGTTTAGAACAATCCTATATGAATATCACATCAAACGTGAATTATAGTAATCTTTATTATAAATTTATGGATATCACATTAAATATAAAATTATAGTAATCCATATTAATTGATAAATTTATGGATATCACACTAAATACAAATTTATAGTAATCACTTTTATTCTAAAAGAAAAATGTAATATATACATTATGCATGTAGAATCAATTACATTTCTAAATGTCGTCTCACATGAAATAGTATTGCACAAATTTCGAGACATTTAATTTTTCCTTTAAAAAAATGCTTAGATATTTCTTTTTCCTTTTAAAAGTGCAATTTATTTTCATTCTTCCTAATAAATACCGCCTTCACTATTACCAATACCAACTCCATCTCTCTAAAACCAAACACACGGCAAAAATGAATAGACGACATGACGGCGGTGCCACCATCAAAACCGGCGGCGGCAGCCTGAAAAGAGCCATACTAAGGATATGGATTTTCCGGCAGCCAAACGGGTCGTCAAGATTTTCACTGGGTAATTTCTTCAGAAACGTGGGGGCAAAAGTGTCGAAAGCCCTACCAGCAATCTCGGCAGGGAAAAAATACTCCGGCCAAGTTTCTTCATCGGCTAGCCTGGCAAAATCACAGTCGTATGCAGAAGCATTTGATTGTCAGAGGGCTGAGGCAATCGAGGTTTGTATCGAGTTCTTGAATAAGCAGAGATCGAGTTTGATTAACAGCTCGTGTTAGGGGAAAAAAAGAAGCAAATAATAATCATAAAAATAAGAATAAGAATAACATGAAAAAGAATGATGTAAATGGAGTAAATAGAATTTCTTTTTCATGTACATTTGTAATGAGATTTTGTTAATTAAGTTGTTATTTTATGAGATTTTATATATTTTTCATATATATATATATAAAAGGTAAAGTGTAATAGTATTGCAGAAGAGCTTTTGCTTTTAAAACTTTCTTAGTTTAATTTTTTTAGTGTATTTTTTTTTTAAAAAAATTACAATATTTCTCATCAATCCGAACACACATTCACATGAATTTATTTTTGTGCTTCTCTTTCAAGAAAACAATTTCATTATAAAGCGTAATGGAAATTGTTTTTATCTCTAAAGAAAATAATATAGCACACAACAAAAAAGTCCTCCGCGAGAAAATTCGAACAAATTCCAAATGCCATTTACTTGATACAAAAGATTTCACCAAGTCCATATTCATGAATCAAGAGAAAGCTTTTCAAGACCTTGAGTCCCATGATTTGCAGCTTTCTTCAACTCCAAAGCACGCTTGTACGGTGGTGCAATAGGGGGTTGTACCGGATCTAAGCTCTGGTAAGTTCCATCAGCTGACTTAGGAAGTGGATACGAACGATCTGAGTCGTAACCATTGAGATCACCACATGCCAAAAACGGAATATAAACCTTGTTAGGCCCTTCGAGCCACCCACTGCTACAATCTGCTAAATGCATTTGTTTCAATAAAATAAAAATAAAAGTAAAATAAAATAAAATAAACTACTGTTTCTAATAATAATTTTATGGTATTGAGATGACCTAAATCATAAGCACCCGAAGGACTTCCAATTTGCTCAAGGAGTCGGTGAAGATCTTTTTCATTAAAGCCTTCGGGAGGCGAGTAATTCTCGCAAACTACAAATGCCTCTGTGTAGGAGTATAAACAAAAGTTACAGACCAAGGTTTAATTCGAGTTATTAATATAAAATGAAACGAAAAAAAACATCATCACTCGTATAGATACTGAATCAGGTGGGTTTTTAAGAGGAAAAAAAGATAATTTACAATAGCCAGAGAAAAAAATAAATAAAAGAGATAAATAAAGAATCATCTATTAACCTATGCTTGAGTTGCGACTGCTTTTCGGTTTAGCAAATGTAACCTCCGTGAAGAATAATTTTAGCTGCAAAAAAAACAAATTTCATTAGGTCAACGGCTCGAATAGCTAGTCATGGAAAATATCATGTGTATGAAAGTGAAACTTTGAGGAAGCCTGGCTGTGCAGAAAAATTTTTAAACAAACCTGACAATAAAGGAGACTAGTGTCCTTTCCTCGAAATATTTTTGCAATAAACTTTCCACCTATTTTCAGTATGTGTGTAACTATGGTAAGTCCCTGCAAGAATGATATTCCACTGTCTCACAACAGCTTGCAACTCGATATATTTTCTTTAGATAATATCATATATTTATTAAATGTTACAATTGAGAGCTTTAAGTACCTGAAATACGCATTTTAATCAAAGGGCATATAACTTATGTCTTTGAATGCATATGAAGTTCTAAGATAAAATACAACAACAACAACATACCCAGTATATTCCCAACAGGTTGGGATCTGGGGGGTCAATTGTACGCAGACCTTACCCTTGTAATTATACAAGGAGGCTGTTTCCGTAGCGACCCAAGGTGCATTGCGCCGTTCTAAGATCAAATAAGAACCAAAANAAAAAAAAAAAAAATAAAAAATCACTAACCGCTAAAATGAGTTGGGACTGAACAAATTCATCCATGTCATGCAGGCCAGTTACTGTACATTGGTAATATATATCAACATGTATTGCAGAAGGTCATATATAATTCGAAAAAAATAAAAATAATTTACACACCGTCAGGTGCCCCATCACACACAACAAGATCAGCCTTGCCCCCATCAAAATGTCGAATTACCTGAGAAAGGAAAAAAAAAATATTAGACTTGTGTAGAAAGTTTTAAAACCTAAAATAATGAGAAGATTGAGATTCATCCACACAGTTTCAGCTGTCCTTGCATTTGTAATGTCCCCTTGAACTTGAATAACACCTTCAATAGGAGCCATAGGCTGCAAGTCTATCGCCACAATAAGTGGTAGATCACCACTCCTGATAATTTGTAATTCGGATAAGTACAATCAAATCTTCAATAAAATTTAAAAGACAAAAAGGAAAAGTTTGTTCACAACAAAAAATTGCAAATAATGTTATCAAGGAAACAAAAGTAAGATTTAAGAGTATAGAAAATTTTCATCAAAGAAATGTACTTGCAATCAGGTGACAGCCTTGCAGGCAGGTATAGTTTTCGACTCAAAACCTGAAAAAAAAAGAAATATTATCAAGACAGGGCTCAATGGGATGTAATGCATTTGGTTAATTACAATAATTTAGCATCTTTGGTACAGGGTACCTAGAGACCTCTTTTATTCCTTTGCATTTCAAACTTATTACACAAACATAAAATTACAGATACCTGGCTCCAGCTTCCAGGTGCTGCACATAAATCTACCACACGCTTTACCCCTGCATAGTATGGCATTATATTGACAACTATCTGAAGATAACTTAGTACAATCCTATACCTATTGGTCAGAAGTTAAAGCACAATGTACTAACCACTAACTTTATTTTTTAAAAAGAAAAAAAAAATCAGCTAGATAAAATCCTTTACCCCATAAGTAATCGATTGCCAACCAAAATTTACAGAAATACACTTCCTTTTTTATCAGTCACAGCCAATCAACTCACTTTACTAGAACTACATATCCTTATTACAAATTTTCCACAAATATCGTTATCACACTTTTCTGTTACATTTGCATGCCATATCATCCTCAAAATTCATTCTTTCTCCCAATTTTTTTTTCTCNTAAATTGCAAGAAAAAAACACACAAAAAAACCAAAAAAATAAAAAATAAAAAATTACATGAGATATATAACAGTTAAAAAAAGTTAACTTTTTCCAAGAAAAAAAGAAGAAGGCCAACAACTAGTCTATTCTTACCTTCAAATATGTTAAATTCCTCATCAATCTGAAGCAATTTGAAGGCACTTCGTGCACGCCATCCTTCCTCTTTGGCTTTCCTGTAGTAAATGTCCTGCAGAACAAAATACATTCATCAACAACTCACCAAATCCCAAACCCAGTGAAAACCAACAAAAGTGAGCTAATAAAAATCTTTACCCGCTTGTCCCTTGATGCTTTTCCCATCGATCCTGAGCTGATCCTCGGTTACAGCTAACCTTCAGAAAACCAAGCGAACGTGTCACCATGACTAACCAGTCCACAGGAAACATAAACCGACACTCACTTTCAAGTTAATTTCACCAACGACTGAAAACTCAGCGTCTACATTCTTAAGTCAGTAATTACTTCAAACGCCTTCTGTGCATGCTGAAAACTCCACATTTCCCATACATTACAAAGCGCAACACTAAATGTGTTTGTGTATGTGTGTGTGTACAGAATATTCTTGACACGCAAACGTAATCACCCCCAACTCCAAGCTTGAAGCTTGAACTTTTATACAACCTCACTGTCTTTCCAATCGAAACTTCCAAATAACCATTAAAAAAAAATCCGTACACAAACAAACAGATACAACAAAGGTAACTACACAAGCAATCCAAGATAAGAAACACAAGTTACCTTCTCAAACAGCTCTTCGAAATGATGGAATCGCAGAGAAATTTCAGAATTTGGACGAAGGCGTGAAATTTTTCGGCAATGGAGATTGGATGTCGCGATTGTTCTGAAACGACATAGTATTAGCACCGCGGATGTAAAAGGGCCTAAAAAGGCCTATCAACTTGATTTTGCTTTTGGACCCATTTGATTATATAATAATATGGATCAAACTTGATGAGCTCGTTCCATAAGAAGAGTCCAGTTAAATTGGTCGATAATAATTGGCCCAATGTAATGGTTGTGATCGTGCACTGGGCTCAGATGGTTAAGACTTGAAAATAGAATTGAGGATTTTATGAAATTTTCTAATCTTTAATTTACCTTCCCAGACTAAAGAATTATTTTAATTTTGCATCCTCGCGAATCAATATTGGACAAATTCACATATCTACTGCAAGATTTCAAACAATATTCAAGTTCCACTAATAAATATTTCTTCCAAAAAAGAGGAAGAAAAAAAGGGAAGCAAATAAATAAACATGTTAACTAATTTATCTTTGAAGAATATGAGACGTATGTGCATTGATTTCGACACACGTATTAATTTGAGAGTCATATTTTAACTAGATTTTGCTCCTTTATTTTAGATTTGACTAATAATATCCAAATTTATGGTAACGAGACACTTCTTATATAAGAGAGTTAATTATGCATTGACTCTATAGAATTACGACACTATACAATATGGGTAGAGTTTATTTGAAATATTACGATGCACCAAATTCTGAGATCTACAAGTGTCGTTGTTGTGAAACTCACATTGCTGTTGCAGATAATCACATAGGGGAATACAGTGTAATATATATATATATATAATTTAGTAGTTTTATTTGATAATTTAGTAATTTTAGTAATTTTTTCTTGCAGGTGGGTAATAGAGAATATGTCTGTTTTGAAAAAGTGTGAGTTTATAACTGACATTTTGCATGTATTGGTTTTTGTATTTAATTATCTTTTTATTTTAGCACGCGATGAGGTTTTTGTATGTCATTTGTTTGAATATTCTTTGTGAAAATAACAGGAAAAACGTGACCAAGGAGGAAGCAGAAGACAATAATTACACCCTTTATTGTATCAAATGCAATAATAAATTGGGGTATAAAGATGTAAGTGAATTCAAGAATATTCATTTATTGAATTAAAGTTAATTATTAATGTCTTAATCAATTAATGGTACAATTTTAATCATATAAACACGTCCATATATACAGGTTGATGCTGATAGTGTTGAGATATTCAAGTAAGTTGTACACTAACGATGTCTATATATATCCAATTTAATTGTACCAATATATATAGATTATAGAGTAGTGTGTGTTTGTGTGTTTTAATTTGCTTAATTTCTTATGAATATGAGTTGTTATCTATTGACAGGGCTCAATTGAGACGAGGGGCTTGATTATGGATCGAACGACAACTCACAGATATATAATTATTTAGTGAATCTCCTTATAATTTTGTCTTATTCTCTCATAATTTATTTATTTTTATTTATGTACAATAATCTTCTCATAATGTTTTCTTGTTTTGCTCATGATTTAGTTGAGATGAGATAAATCTTTATTGAACAAGCTCTTGTTTTTTGCTCATGATTTAGTTGGGATGAGATAAATTTTTATTGGACAAGCTCGCAATTTGGATCATAATTTAATTTTAGATTTGTCATTTATTATCATACACAATTAAAAATAGCATTAAATTCAGTTATCACGATTCTCACACCAAGATTAGTTTTTATTTGAACTTTTTAAACTACACATATATATTTTAAAAAAGTCATTATTTTGTAATCAGTATGAGGTGGATATTTTGTATAAAAACGTTTGTCATGAGGCAAGTTTCATTAGCCATGTGCAATTTGAGAATCATGAAATAGTTTTCAGCCGCCATGTGCAATTTGAGGATCAAATGTCAGATTATACTATTGATTTTCGTCAAGATTATATAATACGCCAATTCATGAGCTGAACTAATTAACAGAGCCAAATTTACGCCTAAATATATATTGAGATGTCCTTTAAAGATTTCAAGTACGTTGTCTGAATGTTTTAAGTTTGAAATGTAATATAAATAGACACATACTTTTAGTTGGGCACTCACATAAAGCTAAGTTCCGTAGTCAGATTTCTATTAAATCCAAGCCTAACTTAGGTTAAGTACCTAGCTAAAATCGAATTTTAATAAATTAATGTGAGATTCTTATTCTATTTGGACCTTTGACAAAAATAAACAAAGAATAAATAAATAAATAAAGCAATCCCCCATAAGAGCTACCAATATTTTTTGGTAGTTAATCATTTAACCTAATGATTGCATGTGCATGTGATGATTATTAGATGCTGCTAATCATACTATTGAGCCTCTAACTTATAGCCATAGCATGTCAGTTACAAAAATGAGATATTTGTACATAGTTTATTAGGTTTAAATATTTTCGACTTTGAGTTATTAGATTCAAGTGATATTGATTCATTGTATAATTTGAACTCTAATTTTTCGGGCAAAATGTTCAATAGGATAGTGTGGAAGGATGCAAAAATAAAACAAATATTAATATATATATATATATATATATATATATATATATATAATTGCTAATTTGAGCTATATTGAACAATATTGCATGTCTTATACGCGCGTACATTTAGGATGATTCACTATTCATCATCATTTTTTGAGCTTTTTTGGTTGGGGTGATTGTGAGTGATATCACACCATTTGTTATCATATCAAGAATATTAAGTTGTTTGGTTGGACAATTTTTTGTCTTGAAAATTGAGTAAGGCCCGGATCAACATCCTTTAAGATGTTATTACCATATCCCACAAAATTGGTGGGATGCCTTATCATTATCATAATATTATTAAACACCCAAAATACCCATATTCCTCTTTTCACCGTATTACGCCTCCTCCTCCTCCTCTTCCTCCTCCTTCTGCTTCTTCTTCTTCTTCTTCTTCTTTTTGAGTGTGTGTAAAGTAGCAGAACGTCTTCCCTTCTTATTCAGTCTTCATTCTTTTTTTTTTCCATAAAAAAATTCGTTAAGCAACTCTAGCCTAACGGGTAGCAAACGATTGATGGGGAGTGACGGACGCTGCCCTTCACACCTAATTTTCCCATTCTTTTTTTTTTTTTTCAATTT